GTATGTTTCCACAAATTATGGGACTCTCCTGTACAAAAAAACTCCTTTCTTTCATTTATCTAGTTACATTAATAGCAAGAGTGGCTACAAAACACATTTCTACTTAAAGGAAAGGACAAGAGTTCAGCCCCTCTATTCAGTGTACAGAACTTGAACGGACCAGGTGTTAAAACGAAAGACACAGATAGCACATCATTAGACACAAAGCTTCCTGAAGAAGTTAACGACTTTTGCTTTTCCTAGCACAAGATCAGCTTGCTTTTATTTTGTTATTAATCTTAATCTTAAAACTGGAGAGCTGGAAGGAACCCTATCAAGGTTCCCTCTAAGGCAGCAATCCCTTTCTGCCAGCACACGAGCCATAGGTTGCCAGATTGCTACTCCACCACCACCCCCGCGCAGCCAAACCTGAGAAGGCGGCTGCAGCCGCAGTGCTGGTGCTTTGGCAGGCAGATCCAGAGTGGGGTCTTGAGGCACCTCCATGCCGGGTTTTTCCCTTCCGCTGCCACTTCCGGTTCTGCTGCCACTACTTCCAGTTCCGCCACTGCTGCTGCTGGCGTGGTGGTGGCACACTGCCTGCTGCCCCCCCCCCACAGTTTGGGCACGCAAGCCCGCAAAGGTTTGTCACCACTGCTCTAAGGTGTACACCTCCATGCACGCACGCACGCACACACACACACACACACACACACACACACACACCTCGGGGGCCCCTTTGCACAGCCTTCCTCTTCCTCTGCACACCAACAGCAATTGTTTTCAGCCCTTTTAGTTCATGATGGAACCCTGCGTGGGAGGGATTACATGCGGGTGAAGTTGTGAATGAAAGGGACAGATTCCCTGTCAAGGAGACACAATGGGGAAGGGAACTCCCAACTTCTGCTCTGCAGCCAGACACCTCAACCACTGATATTGATCATCAGGTGGTAAATATGGGCTTCATTTACATGTATCTCTGAAGGAAAACGTTTGTATCACCATCTAATTGTGAAATTGGTATCTCATCTAATTCTTCCCTACCAGTTCAACCTTAGTCAGGGCAGGCAGTGAGATAATAGTACCTTTATGTTTACTATAATTAGCATCCTAACTGTCAGTTAATAAGGGGTTAGAGCATCTTTTGCAGCACTGTGTTTCACGTGGTATTCACTGTAGCAGGTGTGCTGTCTGTCAAAAGAATCACATTCAAAATATCATATTCTTGCAACAGAGCTGCTTTATTTGTTGGGGTATCATATTTATACATTGTACCATCCTGAGCAAAAACCCATTTAGGACTCTATAGGTCAAATATATTGTAGAGCTTGCACCCCCCCAAACTCCCCCCCCCTATATTTTGGCACAGGATTTGCAGGTGGTTACGTTTTGATAAATAGGTCATTTTCATTTACAACTAAACAATAATTTCAAATAAAGGCAATGCTTGGATGGGGGATTTGGGAATTATCACCCAAAAAGTAGTGTTTCCAAGTTCTGGAATAGACAGGCAATCTGCCCAAATCCAGAAGAGGGTACACACACACACACAAAAGTAGAAACCTCGGTCTGTCCAATAAGGTTCTTTTGTCATTGTAAAATCATTTGCATTAGCATGTATCACCTTTTGGCAACATAAAAAAATAAAGAAAATCTTCAATCATGTAAGAAAATTGTAGGAGCAATTTTTTTTTTAAAAAAAGAGTGAAATAAGACATCTGTGCTCAATTAAAAGCCATATAAAATCCTTACTAATCATAGCTTCCCTTCATAGTCAAAGCACATGGCGAGTGCTGAGAAAACGAGAGCCAAAACAAGGCCTGTGGGAAAGCAGAATTTGCGGAAATACAAAAACCTGGAGAGTGGGGAGGCAGCACTCCCCCCCCAAAAAAAGTCCTAATGAGAAATGGAGATTAAAAAGTAGCACCTGCCAGACGACTGTTGTGCAATTGCTGGACAGTGAAAAACAGACAGAGGAGCCGAGTTCTCTTCTTAGAGCAAGGGCTGGATGAGACCCCAAACAAGAGCCCTCCTGCAATGTGCTCAGGTACACTGCAATGTTTTGCTGCAGGTCCCAGCTGTAAATCCCATTTACTTTGTTTTAGCAATATAAGGCACGTTAAAAAAATTCAGGATCATGCAGTTTCATTCCCTCTCCTTTAATTTGGGTAGAAGAATGAATCACTTTTCACCTGAACATTTACCAAAATTGTACGAATATCTAATGATTGCAGCAGGTGGCCATGATGTCTGGAGGTTTCTGAAAGACAGGATCCAAAAATATAATTACCCCAAACTTTGATCAGCAGGCAAGCCAGCTGGCCTGCATTCAATTCAATTCAATTCAATTCAATTCAATTCAATTCAATTCAATTCAATTCAATTCAATTCAATTCTATTCTATTCTATTCTATTCTAGTCATCTGTCCATACAGGTATCTACCCATTCAACTATCTACTTATCTCCATACACCTTATTTTATTTCAAATACATGCAAAGCCCACTAGAAAGAAAGAAAAACCTTTTCCTTCCACCATCACAAGTGTTACATGAAGGCATTCACTGCATGTGTGCCACTTGTACACACATACAGGGAGCAGGAATAGACTGGACATGAAGAACCAGAAAAAGATGATGGAGACCCAAGAAAAGGTATTGCTAGGCCTACTGTATCAATAACATTCTAAAAGTTCCAGGAAAGTATGATAGTTCTCTTTCCTAGTTGAGTTTGTGTATTGCATGTTGGTCCTTTGTGTGTTTGTTGTTATTGTTTAGTTGTTAAGTCATTTCCGACTCTTCGTGACCCCATGGACCAGAGCATGCCAGGCCCTCCTGTCTTCCACTGCCTCCCGGAGTTGAGTCAAATTCATGTTGGTAGTTTTGGTGACACTGTCCAACCATTTCATCCTCTGTCATCCCCTTCTCCTCTTGCCTTCACACTTTCTCAACATCAGGGTCTTTTCCAGTGAGTCTTCTCTTCTCATGAGATGGCCAAAGTATTGGAGCCTCAGTTTCAGGACCTGTCCTTCCAGTGAACACTCAGGGTTGATTTCCTTCAAAATGGATAGGTTTGTTCTATTTGCAGTCCAGGGGACTCTCAAAACTCTCCTCCAGCACCACAATGCAAAAGCACCAATTCTTCGGCGGTCAGCCTTCTTTATGGTCCAGCTCTCACTTCCATATATCGCTACTGGAAAAACCATAGCTTTGACTATTCAGACTTCTGTTGGCAAGATGATGTCTCTGCTTTTTAAGATGCTGTTAAGGTTTGTCATCGCTTTCCTCCCAAGAAGCAGGTGTCTTAATTTCGTGGCTGGTGTCACCATCCGATGTAGACTACTCTTTTCCAATCCTCTGGCCACTGCTGAGTTTCCCAAACTTGCTGGCATATTGAATATAGCACCTTAACAGCATTATCTTTTAAGATTTTAAATAGTTCCACTGGAATGACACCACCTCCACTTGCCTTGTTGTTAGCCATGCTTTCTAAGGCCCACTTGACTTCACTCTCCAGGGTGTCTGGCTCAAGCTCAGCAAGCGCACTATCTGGGTTGTCTGCATGTCCAGATCTTTCTGGTATAATTCTTCTGTGTATTCTTGCCACCTCTTCGTGATGTCTTCTGCTTCTGTGAGGTCCCTGCCATTTTTGTCCTTTTTCATGTCCATCTTTGCACAAAATGTTCCTCTTTAATATCAGATAGCTGATTTTTCCCTTTTTTTCTTTTCCTCTATTTCTTTGCACTGTTCATTTAAGAAGGCCCTCTTGCCTCTCCTTGCTATTCTTTGGAATTTCTCTGCATTCAATTTTCTGTAACTTTCCCTATCTCCCTAGCATTTTTGTTTCCCTTCTCTTCTCTGCTATTTGTAAGGCCTCGTTGGACAGCCACTTTGCTTTCCTGAATTTCCTTTTCTTTGGGATGGTTTTTGTTGCTGCCTCCTGTACAATGTTACGAGCCTCCATCCATAGTTCTCCAGGCACTCTGTCTACTGAATCTAGTTCTTTAAATCTGTTCTTCTCTTCCACTGTGTATTCATAAGGGATTTGGTTTAGATTATACCTGACTAGCCCAATGGTTTTTCCTACTTTCTTCAGTTTAAACTTGAGTTTTGCTAGAAGAAGCTGATGATCAGAGCCACAGTCAGCCCTGGGTCTTGTTTTTGCTGACTGTATAGAGCTTCTCCATCTTTGACTGGACAGAATATAATCAATCCGATTTCGGTATTGCCCGTCTGGTGATGTCCATGTGTAGACATTGCGTGTTTAGTCAGAAGTAAATCCTCCTCTGTTCAACGAGGAATATTCTTCATAAAGCAACCACTGAGCTGCAAATCTGTGCATAGTTACCAAGCAGCACAGTAAGCTTCGGTGAACTAGGTGGTAGTTATGTCTAAGTAAACCTCTTTAGGAGTAGGTGTATCATACCACTTCATTACAATGGCTTTGATTTTCTACCCAGGGACCAAACTGTTTTTTTAAAGACCAGTGTCCTAAATGTCTTAAAGATGTAGAAGAGGGAATTTCAGCAGGATAGCTCCACAAACAACAACAACAACAACAAAGTCTTCTGAAATGTTCTCTTCCACACAAAGTATTAAATATACAGGAGCCACTCATGCTGGTAAGTACATGTAAATATTTCACTTCTTTTTTTATTAGTAGCATTACATCATTACCTAAGGAGTGTGAGACTTTTGTGTGCTGGTACAGGGTGTCCACCATTTTCTATGCACCACTACCCTGTTGAATTTCTCCTCAGATCAGCTGATTTCAGTCCCAGGAAGACACTCCCATCAATGTCATCCATGCCAACATACAATGGTTTAATCCTGTTCAAACTAGTGGGCATCCTTCAGTCTCGAGAGACTATGGTAACGTGCTCTGAACAGAGGTCCTGGAACAGCCTCCTGTTCAAAACATTTTCATTAAAAGCTGATGGTGCATATTTAATAAATGTGGGTGTTTGGCTAATTAATTAATTAATTAATTAAATGTTTGGTTACTTGCAGGAAGAGCATACCCCCCATTCCTATGCCTCTGCCTGGATGAGTAGGAGGTGAAAGATGATAAAGGTATTTGCATATTCATAGCAGACTTCTGAAATTCAACAATGGGAGAGAACAGCAACAACAATAGCAAAAGGAATGTTTTTCTTTTTCTTTAAAAAAAATCTCCTTTCAGTAAAACAATTACGTCAAGTTTTTCAGTTCAGATGGGCTAACAGCATTGGCTGTAGCGACCTTCTGTTGAGTTGCCTTTTTACGTTTGAGGTGGTAGAACACAATCCCCAGAATGACACCTGGAAGAATAAAAGAAGAACTAAGATGTTTAAATGATGCTTTAGTACAGCCCTCTCCAGCCCATGTATCCTCCAGATGTGTTGGACCACAACTCTCAGTACCCCTAGCCAGCATAACTGGCTGGGATGATGGGAGGTACGGACTAACACATCTGGAGAGTGCAGAATTAGGGAATCTTGCTGTAGAGCATATGCACATCTTTTGTAAATACTTTGTAGATAATACAGAACCAGATGCTTACACTTCTCCCCATTTAGTCCAGTAGGATGGCAATTTTACTTAGAGTTAAACACCACCAAACGCAGTGGGACTTATATCCAAGTAAACATGCATACAGGTGTGTTTTTATACTCCTTAACAGGCTAGCTGCAGTACACTCAATACTACTAATCATGTGCTGTCAAGGCAATTCTGCCTTACGGAAACTCTTTTTCAGGGTTTCTCAAGTAAACAGTATCCGGAAGTGGGTTACCATTCCCTTCTTCTGGGTGTGCCCTAGGACTGGGCAGGTTGCCCAAGAGCACACAGGCTGGCTCTACTCGCAGGAATCAAAATCGCATCCTCTGGCTCCTCAACTAGATACCTAACTCACTGAGCTATCCAGCAGTACATTTGGTTGGTGCCAAAACCAAAACAGAATCAAGAGATGAAGCTTTAGATTCTATAGTTAAGAACTTGCATTTACTGTCCATATTGAGGAACACACCAAACCAGCTGTGAGTGGCAAATGTTGAGCTTAATTCCTCTGAGTATATTGAGAGTAAAGAGCTAGCATAAGTCACTGGGATAGAGTGCCTGGCTGAGGCTCCAGGGACTGGATGTTAAAATCCCCACTGTGCCTCCCAGTAAAAAGGACAACAGAGATCGCCCAAACCATGTGCGGCTATGGGGTTATGTGCCTCACTGCCTATGTGATTGTAAGCAAGTTGCATGATACCAGAGTCTCACCAAAGGGAAGAACTAGTGAACCCACTCCTGAGTATACCTTTTTTAAAAAATGTGCTGCTTATATACTGCCCTATAGCATTTAAAGCACTCCCTGGGCAGTTTACAAGTTAATTATGCAGGCTACTCATTGCCCCTACCCCCTGCAAGCCCGGTACTCCATTTATTGACCTTGGAAAGATGGAAAGCTTGAACCAGCTATCTGGGACTGAACCCTGGTCATGAGCTGAGTTTTGGCTGCAGTACAGCAGTTTAACCACTGCAGCAGGAGGCTCCTATGAAAAAAGCCCTGGGAGGGTTTCCAGAGTTCGGAATCAAGTTGAGGGCACGTAATTATTGTTATCCTGAGAGGGTTGCTCTCTCACTGGTGACTTCATTATGGCTGGGTAACCTTGGAAATAAAATACAGTGCTGCTTCACTTGACGATGATAATCAGTTCCAGCAAAATCGCTGTAGAACAAAATCGGTGTCAAGCGAAAGGAAAAAGCCCATTGAAATGCATTGAAAACTGGTTCAATGCATTCCAATGGGCGAAATACCTCATCGTGCAGCGAAGATCCTCCATAGGGCAACCATTTACTGGTGCCTGTTCAGCGAGGAATCCATCCTAAACACAGCGGGCAGCTATTACTGATGCCTGTTCAGTGAGAAATCCATCCTAAACACAGCGGGCAGCTATTTTGAGAGCCACTGATCAGCTGTTTTAAAATAATCGTTTAGAGAAGAATCGGTTCCCAAAGCAGGGAACCGATCGTTGTAAACCAAATTTTCCCCATTTAAACATCGTTTGTGATCAAAAATCCTCATCGTAAAGCGGATTCATCATGGAGCCGGGTAATCGTCAAGTGGGGCACCACTGTATACTGAAACTACTCATACTTCAAACATACAGTTTAAGTACTGTATGATATCCAGAGAAGGGCATAGTATTATATAGCTTCATCTTATACATAGAAGCATGACTTCAACATAGCCTAAACTGATAAATACACACTGGTAAACACATTAGTCTTTTATTGTTTTATTAGATCTTTAATCCTTATCTTTTCTTGTTCCCGGCATTGGCAGCTACTCAGGTTACACAGAAAGACCGCTCACAGATCAGCTCAGACTATTTTGGCCTCCCTACGTATGTAGTTTTGTCTACTCCAGCTGGCAGCAGCTCTCCAGCACACAAGCACAGGCTGTACAATCAACTACATTTTTGGTACTGACATGTACACTGGATCCTTTCCTTTCCAACTAGGATTGTGCACACATAGTGTAAGTTCTTTTTCTTTTCTCTTTTCATCATGTTGTCTCCTAAAGTTTATTTGTTTCTTTTCTCCATTAAGCCTGTTTTCTTTAATTCATGTATTTTAGATTGTTATTTCTCCCAAAATCCAAATCATGGTTAACTCATATTGTTTCTACCAATGTCTGTCTTGCAGAAGAAGAAGAAGAAACTGTGATCTGAATACATTCTTTCATTTGCACATGTGGGGGGCATATATTTAAGTCAGTCAGCATCTTAGCTCCTTGAGTGTTTACATTTATTTAGAATAAAAACATCACTGCCTGGTGATTTTTTCTTAGGTTCTCTATTCGAGGGAGTTAAGTTTGTTTAAGCTCTTTCACCACTTTCCTCTCAGGTGCAACACAGTAAAGTCTAACATTAAAGTTCTGCTTTGATTAGAGTAAACTAAGAGGTCGATAAAGTTATTTTTTGCCTTTTCAAAATCCCAGTAATGATCAGAGCCAATAAATGAGTAGGTCTAGGTCCCTAGTGCATCCATAATCTTCTCATTTAAAATACTATAGCTACTCACCAATAACAACTAGTACAGCAACTAGAATACCAATTGCCATTCCTACTGTTGGAAGCCGAGGCCCCTCAGGCTCCACGAAGCACCTTTCCTCAACACATTGGCACAGGTTCACTGCAGACAAAAGGCACATTTCTAGCAGTTAAAAACAAATCACTCAATCAAACTTTCGCACACCCTTATAACCAGAAAATTTCAAGCGCTCGAATGCAATGTTCTGCGTACCTTTCAGATGGACAACTCCTTCCATTGGCGGCCTTCCTCTGTCATTAATACATATTGGAATATCGTACACCTTCGCTTCAAGATTCAGGTTCTTTGGTGAAATGTACATGTGTAAGCCTGTCGGAACAAGCAGTCGATGGATAAAGCATCTGTCAAGGAGAAGACCTCAACTACTCCTAGGAGCCACTCTAGGTTTTACAATCTTCAGGGTAGGGCCATCTCTCTTTCTTTTCTTTTTTTTTCTGGTGTATTTTCACATTGTTTCAAGTACACTTTAGTACTGTGACATATTGCAATATTGCACTGTATCAGTATTTCAACCATTTGTAAACTGCCTAGATCAGGAGAAAAATGAGGTCTAACTAAAATAAAGATGGGAGGATGAAGACTTAAAACTACAGAGATGAGCAAATGGATCCAGTCTGACTCATTTAAGCATGGCTTGAATGCTGAAATGGAAATGAATTCACTGGCACTTTTACTACTGCATGGCCCTTGGTTGAACCTCAGCTGTAACAGACCCATGATCTCCACATTATATATTGCTTAGAAAATGGGAAATGTTTCTTGTCTTGGCTACAGTTTCCAGAATCCCACTACTGCCATGCAGATCGTGGCATTCTGGAGAGTTCTGAAGCCAACAATGGGCATGGCCATAGTCCAAAGGGGTTGTGGATATGTGTCATTGTCTTCCTCTCTTTCTTACAGCCTCTTCCTTTTCCCTTTTCTCCTTGATACTCCCTTCTCCATCTCTTGCTTTCTCTCTTCTTCCTTGACTGGCCAGAAGAGATACATTGTTCTTGCCAGATGTTTGAGCTTGGTACTTGCATGACCTTTGGAGAACAGCCTATGATTAGGCTGAGGATTGCATTTAGCCCTAAGGTCAGCACTTGAAACAGTGAATTTTTTATTACTGCAACTCCAAGGATCCTCCAGCCAAAATGGAATCTAACTTTTCCAAACTCTGCCCAATGTCACATATTGTACACTCCTGTTGTACAGGATGAATTAGTCAGTGGTTAACTGAGCAGTATCCTAAGGAGGCCATTAGAGCTGCATTCTAAAGCAGAGAGAAGTATGTACAGTGGTGCCTCACTTAGCAATATAAATCCGTGCAGCAAAAATCGCTGCTAAGCGATAACATCGCTAAGCGATTTTAAAAAGCCCATAGAAACGCATTAAAATGTGTTTAATGCATTCCTATGGGCTAAAAACGAACCTTAAAGCGAAGATCCTCCATTGTGGCGGCCATTTTCGGTGCCTCTAAAGCGAGGCAACACAGCGTGCGGCCATTTTGTTTTCCGGCAGCCATTTTGGAACTGCCGATCAGCTGGCCAAAAATGGGGGCTTTGCAAAGCAAATTTTCCCCATAAGAAACATTGCTAAGCGATCGCAAAAACAACATTGCTAAGTGATTTCTTCGTTAAACGGAGCGATCGCTAAGCGAGGCACCACTGTATTTGGTATCCTATCAACAAACTTACCATCAGGTTTAGAAAGGTTCCAGTTATCCAATATTTCTGTCCCACCCATGAGACTGTAAGAGAATCTTGCAACATATGGTGACTCATCTGGATCAGAAACCTCTAACTTTGCTCTTTCATTTCCTTGAAGAGGGTGGCAGAAGAACACATAATCCTTCACCAGATATGGAGGATTATCATTTACATCTTTCAGATGCAGAATCAGCTGTGCTGTGGAGCTCTGAGATGCTGTGGCTGTGGATTTCAACAAATCACAGAATGATATACCAGGCTTTGTACATGGAGACCATTTTGCTTTCACCAACATCCAAATGTTCTGGGAAATTGTCATCAAAACACAAACTAAAGGAAAAATCTTAGCTGTTCCTATATTTGGGCAAATCTGTCTGTTTCATTTTCTCCCACACTGAGATTTTACAAATGTGGTATCAAAACTTTAATCAGATTTTCTGATAAAAATGAACTGAAACTATATTTTTTTATAATCTCCCATTCCTGTTCAGTCAGTAGCCAGTAGCCAGTTCATTGCCACATAATACAAAGTTATGCAGGCATACCTTTGCCAGGTGTTGTGCACAGAGAATGCAGACTATGCAATCCAGTTGTGCAGTTGGTCACAAGGTTCCTGTCACAACCAATTGTGAAGTGTGTCAGCAGAAGTGCCTTGTGGATACCGCTTCTGCCTTGGCACTAATGTAACTACCCAAGCGTAAAACTGAGTTACACCCATATAGCTACACAACAACATTTCAGCTAATGTTTCAGTGGAGCCCAGGATCTCAGAATCAAAATTATGGAATGTTCTAATTCTAACAGACATAGCTGAAATCCCCATCATTCCTCTGGGTTTATCTGCAATCCTCACAATAGCTGGAGAGGGTGGCAAGATGGATTGATTTTCTGTGGAAACATGTGGTTGTGAGTTGTCCTTCCAGTAATTTTGGAATAGTTTGGTCTTAAATCGATGATGACCCATTATCTTTGCATACTCCAGATAGAATTAAGAACTGCTAGATTGGTGTGTTGCGTGTCTGCCTTTTCAGCTTCATCAGTATCCACTGCAGACACAATGGCGGAAACAGAGCAAAGCAAAGCATGCTAATTATATACCGCCCCATAGTGCTTCAAGCACTCTCTGGGCGGTTTACAAGTTAATTATGCAGGCGCCCCCCCCCAGCGAGCTGGGTACTCATTTTACCGACTTCGGAAGGATAGAAGGCTGAGTCAACCTTGAGCTGCTACCTGGGATTGAACCCCAGGTCGTGAGCACAGTTTTGGCTGCAGTACAGCGGTTTAACCACTGCGCCACGAGGCTGCGGCTAAGAGGCTGAGTGAACAACTAAGGAGGTATTCTGTATGCCAGAGGCTTATGACAGGGTTGTTATTGCACTTGAAAGCAGCAGTTCTTATATTCTGGACAAAAGGGCAACATGGTCCAACCCCTCTGTATTGAAAATAATTGGTAAAGAATCTGCTGGAAGATATTGAGAAAGAGAAGGTGGCTTGGGTTCTTTCATCATCCCCCTTTTACCTGATATGCTTTTATTAAATTGTGAGCATTCTCCATTTTGTGTATTATAAACACCCACATATCTTCCAAGACCAGGGCATATAAGTTGTGGCCCTCCAAAACTGTTGAGCTGCCACCCTTATCAGCCCTAGCTACATCCCGTAGAGCCCCACACTGCTGGCCCCATATGGAGGGAAAGCCAGGTTTTGTGTTCACACCCAGCTCCTGCAGGGAGGTACTAGGACACTAGTGCCCCTCAGTAAAGCCCACCAGCACTGGCAAGCCGCCTTGGGTCCTTTTAGAGAGAAAGGTGGGGTAAAAACAAACAAGCAAACAAACAAATAAAATGATCATATTCCAGGCAGTTGCAAGCTACCATTTCAAATGTCCCAAAATGTGCAATTTAGCATTTCTCACTATAGAGGAGGAAATTTAAAGTAGCCGCTTGTAGCTGCAGCCTGCTGCTATCAAATACTGTATAGGATGGAGGGACACAAATATAACAAGGAGGCACACGCCAGCGAGCATTTTGCCCTGAAACCCACCCACCCCCAAATCATGAGCCAGCAGAGAGCTGAAGGAGTTTCCGTGCTTACTTTGCTCAGTTGCAACAATTCGTGCCAAGTAGGTACTTTCAGTTTCCCGATCCAGTGGAGCCACAGTATATATTGTGCCATTGAGAGGATCAATCTGCAGCCAGTTCCTGTCATTGTTCTTCAGCGCATACCTTAGGAACACCAAGAGACAAGAACAGAGCTTAGTAACTGGCTTTTCTCATTGCAACTAATTTGTTCCTTATTGCAACTCCCCTCTGAAGTAACTTTACCATTAATGGAGGGGAGGGGAACTTTTGTTTTGCTTTTTTTTTGTTATTACTTTTCAATCACTTTTGAGGGAAACCATCATAATAGATAAGGAAATGGCCTAAAATTTTTAAGCCAACCAAAAGTAACAATAAAAAAGAGAAGTAAATATTATTTGTTATGTGGGGATGTCCATATTACCAGTTATTATTCTGCTTACAAAAGTTCTGTAGTTTTTATCCTCATTACATACCAAAATAACACTATACGGGTAAAATGGAGTTTGAATTTGGAAAGAATGAGACAGGAGGAAGCAGAGTTGTGAATGCACTGATTATATCAGTTCTTTTTCCATGAATTTATATTCAATAGGTCCTGAGTCTATCTTTGTAACTAAAATAAACATCACAAAGACACAATAAATCTCCAGGGTTCTCGGATCCAAACTTGTGACATCCCTTGACCATGGAACTTCTTACTGCTTGGTGATGTGCACTGCACATAATAAGATAAGGGTTAATTCTGCTAAGTAGGATTCCCTGTCTTAAACCCTTGTTTATGAGTCCTCAGCTTCCATCTCCTAAGGTAGCTTCAGCTTTGAGGAAATCCTCCTCCTTCACCCTGTTCCCAACTGAGGAGTTTCAGATTTTTAGACTTCACCAGAATTGTTGGGATCAGCATAGGGTAGCATCTTGATCCGCCTGTGTAAACCTGTAGTATGGAAAAGTAAAGAAATTTGTGGAGTGCTGGTGCCATACAATTTTAGTATCAGTGGCAGTCCATTCTGTACACCAGTTGCTATGATGGTCCTCTCAAAGGACTCTGTTTGATCGCTGTGGTACCTGCATGGTGCACTAGACAGCTCTTTGATCTTGTAGAGCAGGTATCTTGTATTCTTCATCTACGTACATCCATTAATTCATTTCCCTTATCATGGGCATTCTGTCTGTGTATCTCTTCTTTTTTTTTCTTTTTTTTAGACAAGATTTCTGCAGAACTACTGAGCTAGTAGTAATTTTTCTTAAGGGAGTTGGGAGCAATTTTCAACAGGAAAACAGGAAGTGCTCCACATTAAAATGAAGTGCCCCACACATTCTGGTCCTGGTCTGCCCACAGAGAGATCTCTTGACTGCTGTCAATTTACAAAATTAGCAGAAAAAAATCCCAATAACTGGCTTCTAAGATGGGGCTAGTGTTAAGTCTCATTCAATCCTAGTTAAGCTGAAAACAGAGAGAGAGAATTGTCTTTACCTTACTTGGGCTCCCTCGGGGTCATAGGCCCCTGCAGTTGTTATGAAGGTACCCACAGTCACATTTTCGTACTTATCAACTGTATAAACAGGTTGGAGGAAAACAGGCGGTTCATCCACATCTGTGACAATCACTTTCAAGTAGGTAAGAGAGCTTGAATTATACTGTATTCCAGCCACAAGGGGTTCTGGATTTGTCGCGTTGATGACAAGGTCGTACACAGGAGTTGTTTCAAAATCAAGAGTCTAAGAAAGCAGGAGGGGAGAGACAAACTGTATCAAGAACAGTGGCCCTACTGGATCATCTCCACTCAGCATACTTCTAGGTTCCTTAAGCAGTGAGTCCTCTTTGTATTAGGGTGTGACTAGACAGCAAATTTGTCCTGGGCTGATGGTCCTACCAGATCATCTCCACTGAGCATACTTCTAGTCTCCTTAAGCAAATCAGCAGTGAGTCCTCTTTGTATTAGGGAGTGACTAGACAGCAAATTTGTCCTGGGCTGGATCAGGCTAAACAGGGTGGCTTTGAAGTGTGTTATGCCATTTGGGCCGATCCTTGTATCCAAACGCAAGGATCAGGTGGTTTTCGAGCATGAAGCTATACGGCCCCTCAAGTGACTCTATATAGCCTGTTCCTCCCTCTAGAAGAAAAGAGAACAAAAAGATCCCATATTGTGTCCCCTCTTCTGTGGGGTAGCAGGGGAGAGCTGCAATTAAAACAAAATTCCACTACAGGGAATCTGCTTTGGTTCTATAACAGCCACCACACATGACAGAACTGAACTAAAACAGAGCAATCCCACCCACACTAAAAAACAGCCACCACCACCACAACAAAACAGTAGCTACTGCCAAGGACCCAAAAAGGTATGAGTAGACATGGACAAGGATTAGGCTGGCTGGCACTTACAAGAACTTCTTGTGGCTGCCAGAAAATGGATTGAATCAACCTATTCCCAAAGTGGTCCAAACGTCAGGATGAAGTGCCATCTGATTGCACCCATAGCGCCACAAACATAATTGACATTTGCGATCTAAAGGTTCAAGTTTCCCATCAACTACCACAGGAAATGCAAAAATGTTAATCTCCATATTCTCTTAATCAGAAATGTACAGGTTTAGTAGTCCTTTCTGAAGAGATTATGGCTATCAAATAGATGCAGGGGAAGGGGATTTTGTGTAAGAGGAACCTTTCCAATTCAAGGGCATATTGAGAAGATATTCTTGATCTCCCTGTTATTCCTTTAGGACCATTGTAATAAAACTGACAAATAGCACGGAGATGGTGCTAAGTAACAAACTTGTGAAATTTCAGAAAAATAGCTGAAGTGGTTCATGAGGAAGCAAGCTCTAAATACATTTTGGGAAGAATGGCTGATTCCTTCTCACCTCACTTCATTGGTCTTGTTCTTGGACTAAAATTCCCAGAAATCCTGGCCAGCACAGCTAAAAGTGAAGGTGTCTGGGAGTTTTAGTCCAAGAACATCTGGGGACCCAAGGTTGGGACCACTGGACTAGGGGAAATGTTCATGAAAATAAATCCTAACAGTTGGATGGTTTACGTATCTGGTTGCAGAGCCAGAGACTGGGAGTTTAACTGCCACCTGCAAAAAGAGCCCGCCTGTGCAAACTTGGGCAAGCTGAATAGTCTCAGGATGCCCCCAGAAGAAGGAAATGGTCAACCACTTCTGAGTATTCTCTATCTAGAAAGTCCTGGAAAGCTGAAATCAACTTGATGACATGGAATCATTATTGTTATCATTATTATTAGAAGATAGACCTTTCAATGACTCAGCTGTACTCCCTCAATCCCTTCCTCATCCCTCCCCCCCATCTCCCCCATCTTGAGTGTTTTCCACACAAAAGACTCCAATTTTATGCCATTCTGCTTTACTGAAGCCTGAACAAAACTTCATGGTGGATCCAGTGTCTTCTCTGTCAGCTTCAGGGCAAAGTTAAGCAGGCCTGCAAGTCACACTCGACTCCGTTTATAGGCTCCAAATATTAAGATTTATTTCAAACTCAAGACTGATCAGAAAAAGAAATTATGTTAGTTACCTTATTAATAATTACATATCCTCTGTTTGTTTTTCGATCTGTCTGTATTGAAAAAGAATTGTTTGGATCTCCCGCTTTGACGGCGTACACAATTCGAGAGCTTCCAGTGAATGGTTCATCTGTGTCTGTGGCTTGAATTTCCATTATTACAGTACCAACTTGTTTGTCTTCTGGAAGAATCACAGACCCATACTAAAAGGAAGGATGGACCAATTACATGCTTAATAAAGACAAAAGGAATGGAAGAATGTTGCTGTGGGTTTTCCAAGCTGTTTGGCCATGTTCTTAAGGTTGTTCTTCCTGTGACCGACATCTTCAGAGGACAGGAGTCAGAACTCTGTCTGTGCTCTGTCAAAACAGAGTTCTGACTCTTGTCCTCTGACGATGCCGGCCACAGAGACTGGTGAAACGTTAGGAAGAAAAACCTTAAGAACACGGCCAAACAGCCCGGAAAACCCACTACAACCATCGGAGCCTTTGAGAATACGAAGAATGTTGCATTTATAAGAAGATGGACTCATTTCTGTCTGTTTAGTGAGTGGAGTGGCTTAATATCAAAGTCAGTTGTTATGCACAAATCAAAAACCATAAGAGAATTCCAAACAGGCTTGTGCTATTGTCCAGCTAGAGGACAAATTAAGTGCTGTAGTGCAGAGGTGAGCAACATATTAACTCATGGCCTACATGCTGCCATGCAATGGCCCAAACATTTCCTCTGCACACCCAAGGTGCCCCAGCACCTCTATGCACCCCCAGCACTTAAAAATTGGCTTTGGCTCAAAATATCCCCATATTCTCTCTAAAAACCAGGGGGAGCAATTTTTCTATTTTGAGGGAGACCTAGAACCACTGCAAAGTTCAGTTTTTTAAAAAAATAAAAACATTGGTTTTGGCCATTGCTGGATGCAAAGTGTGCAGGGGGTCTGTGTTCAGTAGCATCCTTAATTTTTGTAAGGATATAAGGAGGAACATAACAGGAGCAGTTATAGTCCTACAAAGTCCAGGGCTTGGTGTGGACAGCCCAAGAGGTCTGGAGATGGCCCACCTCTACTTTAGTGAACATACTGTAATGAGTAGATCACAAAAATCAATAAGAGCTATGTGGTCCATACAAAACACAGTGCTGGATAGGAGGTACGTTTATTAGACCACTAAAAATGTCATACAATCTGCTGACTTTCATAACTAAATCAATGGATACTCACATCTGATTTTTCAAAGATTGGGATCTGATCGTTGATGTCAATGACATTTATCTGCACATCACACAGTGTTTGGAAAACTATGAGAACAAGAACAGAGCAAGATCAAATGTGAGCCATTCTGTATAGAACAACGATTCTCAAAACTGTTCAATTCAAAACTTCAGTCGTGCCCTGAGCACCATAAAGAGGGCTGGGGAAGACATTTGTTGGGTTAGCCGTTCCTTATGCACTTGTCCTGAGACTGGTCACCGGGGAAAAAAGCATCTTGCCTTGCAAATCCAAACATTTCTAAAGCCCATGATGCATTTCAGGGCAGGAAAGCACAGAAAACCACATGTACAGTGGGGTCTTGACTTAAGAATGGCTCGAGTTAAGAACATTTTGACTTAAGAACCGCTCTCATAGGAAAATATTGACTTGACTTAAGTACTTAGATTTGAGTTAAGAACTGAAAAAAAACCCACGTGGGAGGCAGGGAAAGTGCAAAATTTGAACTTTCAGTTAACGGTTGGCCAGTGAAAAGGGTGCCTGTCTGCTTCCTCCCTCCTCCCAGCGTTTAGAGAGTGGATTGGGAGACAGTCTTCGGACTGCCTGGTACTCTCCTGCCTGGACTGTATTTTCCCTGCCTTCCCTGAACCTTTCTTGACCTAAGAAAAAAAGAAACAAAATATCCCTCCTCTAGTGGTCGAAGGCGGAATAGCAGCTTCCCATTAGTTTCTATGGACGGAAAAGAGCAGATACGGATCAAATGGTTTTCAATGCATTCCTATGGGAAATGCAGATTTGACCTGAGAACTTTTTGACTTGAGAACCGCCTTCCAATACGGATTAAGTTCTCAAGTCAAGACCCCACTGTACACATTTTAAAAAGTACACGGCTAAGAATATGCATGTTTCAAAATTGTGCTCTCATGTTTCTCAATAGGCAACATGACAAAATAAGCAGCAGTAAGTGGGGAAGAAGGACGTCATTGATGCAGATGAAGCTTTTTTTAGTCACAGTCTTAAGAGAGAAAGTGGAAGAAGGTCATAGGACATTCTAATTAAGTTCTGCTAGGTGCTACAGTACTGTATTGTGGTTTCTGATTCCACTAAAATATTCAATTGAACTGTATGGCCTTCTACAAATCTTGGATTTTGGACCTTTTTCGCAGCTATTGTTTATACACACATGCCATCTAATTTCAGAAGCTAAGCACTGCCAGGCCTGGTCAAGTTTTGGATGGGAGACCAGCAAGGAAAGCTTTCGATGGGAGACCAGCAAGGAAAGCCAGCAATCTCCAGGTAGGGCTAGGAAAAAAAATCTCATAAATCAGAGTTAACCATACTGGGCAAATGGAACAACTGTCTGACTCGACATAAGGCAGGTTTCTGTACAGACCTTCTTTATAACACATGGACCAAAAATCTGTTAGTTACACCCTCATGCATAATGCAAATAGCATAATTTTTGATAACAAGCTGTGCAAGTTAGGAAGTCAGCATAGACATTACAGTGGGGTCTCTACTTAAGAACTTAATCCGTATTAGAAGGTGGTTCTCAAGTTGAAAAGTTCTTATGTTGAATCTGCATTTCCCATAGGAATGCATTGAAAACCATTTAATCCATATCTGCTCTTTTCCGTCCATAGAAACTACAGTGGAACCTCTACTTAAGAACTTAATCGGTTTTAGAATGGCGTTCTTAAGTTGAACCGTTCTTAAGTTGAAGCAAAATTTCTCATAGGAATGGACTGAAAACCAATTAATCCATTCTGGCTGTTGTGTTGTTATGTAGAGGTGCGTTCGTACATTGAAGCATTAGTTCCCATAGGAACTAATGCAAAGCTGGTTAATACATACTCTACCACTAGGGGGAGATTTTTTTTTTAACCTAAGATGACCTAAGGTTAAAAAAAGAGCAGGAAAGTTTTTTTTCCTGTTCTTATCTTGGATTTCTGTTCTCAAGTAGAAGCAAAATTTAGCAAATGGAGCTGTTCTTAAGTTGGATTGTTCTTAAGTAGGGACATTCTTAAGTAGAGACCCCACTGTATCTGTTGTGTGCTGATGATAACATTTACACCCACTTCTTAACCTGCAGCATTAACTGCCAAAAGTTATGCCATTTGTGTTACAGCATCATAAAATGACCATACAATTTTGTCCATCCACTCTTGTTCTTAAATCTCATTATCTTACATAGACTTATTCTAAAATAGTGGTTGTTATCTCGTGAGGGTGGGCTTTTCTGTCCCCTGAACCTGTCATGAAGTGTACCGAACTACCACCACTGCAAAAATATGATAGGGAGAAAAGAGCTTGCAACCCTAGTTAGCCTGCTCCAGGCTTTTCCAATTGACCCCCAGTAGACAAGCTCTACGTGGGGGGGGGCATAAAAACATGGAGATATGGGTTTCCCATTGCTCACCCTCTACAAACTTCTGAAAAAGAATGAGGTGAAGAGAGGAATAACTTCGTGTGTGATGTACTCACCTGGATCTGTCACTTTCACCTTCAGTGAATAATTAGAGGCAAGCTGCTTGTTTAATGCATTACTAAATAGGTTGATTGTCCCTGTTCCTGATTCAATGCGGAACATGTTCTCTGTAGGGATTTGGGGGGTTTGATCCACAATCTGGTACTGTAGGCGTGAATTAAGAGTATTTTCTTGGTCTGCATCTGTAGCACTAAAGACTCCTATCAAATTTCCTAGTGGTGGTAAAAGACATTGGAATAAATATAAATATAAACTAAATGGAAGCTAATATTTATTTATTTTATTTATTTGTTTGTTCAATTTATATCCCGCCCATCTGGTATATTTTACCACTCTATAATAGAAAATAAAGTAATTTACAATATTAGTATAAATATACTGTAAACCAATTCCAGGCAACCAATGGAGGGACATGAAAGAGCTGTGGTTAAACATAATAATTGGTTCTTTAGTTTAGATAGGTAGAGCAAAGTACCTGAACTAATAAGAATGTCAAAAATTCATTTGGTTCTCTCTGAATGCAAGCTGACCTAATGTGCATTTCACAAAGCAGGACACAACCCAAGACTTAGAAATATTTTGATATTTACACTTTCTTTAGTTGTGCAAAGCTTTTTAAAAGGTGTTCCAATATGCATGTACTGTATTAGACAAAATCATAGACAGATCAACATTTGCTAAGGAAAATTGTTTGCAACAGTGCTTATTTAAGGACAAAGGCAGAAAAAACATTTTTTCTTCAGCTTTCTTAAACAAATGCTACTTAAGAAATAAGAAAAATGCTTCTTAAGAAATAAGAAACTGAATAAAATTAACACTGACAGATCCAGCATTTGGATAGCTCTGTTGAGACTGACAGATTGGCAGTTGTCACTGTCAGCAATATAAGATAAAGTTACTTTTTAGCCAATAATACTCCAGTCAGCAAGAACAGTGGGATTCTGGGAGTTATCATTCAAAACGAGTAACTTCTCCAGCTCTCCAGCCATAGGCAAGCAAAGAACCCACATGTCCTATGAAAATCTACTTTGGATTTGCAATTGAGACATAGCTGTCCAAATTCATAGTGTTTCCAAAACAGTCTTTCTGACATCATATTTTCTTACCTACGATTTCATTCTCCTGAACTTCAAATTTAGTCAAGCGTTTGCCACACACAGGGGGATTATCATTAATGTCTTCTACTGTGACATTAAGAGTCACTGCACGTGACAACTGTAAGTCTCCATCGTCATCTTTCACGATTATGGATAATGAATACTGAAATAGAAATTTTGTAGTTAGGAATTGTAAGCTGCTTTGGGTACTTTTAAGAAGAAGATGGGGTAAAAATATTATAAATAAATAAAATAGACAGAGAGAGAGAGAGAGAGAGAGAGAGAGAGAGAGAATTGATTTACAGGTAAAATGCATGTCTGCTCAGAAGCAAATCCCACTGATATTAGTGCTTACTCACAAGGAAGTACTAATCACAGCCTTTGAGAGACATGGCAGTGAAAACTACTGTATATTACCAGAATCCCCCCCTCCCAACACGTTCAACATGTTATCAATTTGTTTAACTTTAATATAAGGGAATTGCTGCTGAATCATAGTGCAGAATGTTCCATGGAGTTAGAAATACTGCTAAACACAATTTGAATATTTAGCGAAGACATTCAAATTAACTTTGGAATTGATAAATGTGCAGTTCTATCTATATAATGTTGCAAGATCCAAAAACTAGATGGAATAGAGTTAAAAATTGTAGTATTATAAAATCACTATCAAGTGATGAAAATTATGAACACCTTGGAATACTAGAAGCAGATAACATCCTGCACACAAAGGTTAAAGAACTGACAGATATGAAATGTATTAAAAGACTGAAATTTCACAGAGTATTATAAGCAGTTGCAGACCTCAGAAATCACACCATGAGAGCTACAAAAACAGCAGTATTAGGAACAACATACATATTGCACTGATATTTAACAGATACTTTTATCTGTTATATAATACCAGTCAATGTTTTTTATAATTTTGATTGACTGTGTCTGGTGTTTTTGAATCATCATCATCATCTTAGAACTCAACGGATCATTGAGTCTAGCCCCTTTCAAGGCAGCATGGTGGGGAATAAAATTTCTATCTACACAGCCAGATAACCTACACCACTGAGCTATCCAGCAGTTTTATATCTTTTAGAAGAGTTGTTGCTCATTTTTATCAAACTTACACTGTCTTTTTGTTCTCTGTCCAGAGATTGTGTTACGTAGATAGTCCCATTCCGGTCAATCATAAATGGAGGTTTAATAGGAGACATCTCTTCTGATAAGATATGATACGTTACACCTGGATAATTCCATTGTACCTGGTATTTCAAAGAGTTAAATAAGAGCTCATAAAACAGAACACTCTATTCTCATAGTAACAAAAGGCAGTATCATCCTCTTCTCTTTCTCCTGCTCTCACTCCCATTTTTTCTTCTTTTTTAAAAAAAACTTGGTTTGTTGGTCCAATAAAGAAATAAATCTATAAGACAAATAGATTTGGAATGCACTTTTAATATGTATTACATATAGAGTTTGAAAAGTTGCTTTGTTACACTATAACTCCTAGAATTGTTAGGTAAGGGATTCTGGGATTTGTAGTCCAAGAAATTAATCTTTTGATACATTGATTATATTTAAGATATCTTGATTATATTCATTTTCACCTAAATGGATCTACCAAGAAGCTTATTAAAATAGAAACACGTTATATAATATTTTTGGAACACCTTTAATAATAAATGAATGTTTCTGTGATGCTGTTATAACTATGACTGAAAAGCAAATGCTCACAAGTATACATACTGACCTGAAATTTCTTGGAGAAGGAAAACAACTGAGCTTGGAAATGTTGGTTTGATGTTTTGGTTTCTTGATTTGTTTTGTCAGTTGTAGCTAACAATTCTGCTAGCTTAGAACTGTAACTAATTACTTTTTAAATCTAATATTCCCAGCTCTGTTCTAGATATCATTTAAACTCTAGTTCCCATCGGCCCTAGTCAGCCTCATTAATGATGAAGTAGGATGGGTGTAGTAATCCTTCTACATTGGGAAGGTCAAGGATTTCTGAAACCGCCTCTAAATTCATCTAAACTGATGGCCATCACCACATTATGTGGCAGTGAATTCTGTGATTCATTATGGAATGCATGTGAAGTGCTTTGCTTTCCTTTGCTGCCCCTCTTGAACATCCTGGCAAGATCTCATTTATGACAGGGGCAGACCTAACAGTGATAACACCAGCAAAGTTGTTCCATTCAGTTTAGATTTCTGTCCTTTCACTGTTTAGTGCTCTCTCGAGCAAACCAACCTCATTGGTCAAAGTCTCTTTAGAGGCAAAGTATAGTAGGTACACAGTAGGAGCCAGGAGGTCAGGATCTAAACCCTTGATCCTGAGCTTCTTGGTGGTTTCAAGACCTTACCCGACTGATGCTGATGGGATGCAGTTCTGTGGAGTTTTCCTTGATCTTTACTGGTGGTGGTGACTTCCACAGATTTTCCAACACAGTGACATTCACATCTACATGACTGTTGAAGGCATTTACTGACTGTCCTGCCATATCATACACATCCACAACGAGGATAAAAACGTTCACACTTGTTGGATCTAAATACTGAGCTCCTGAAAATGAAACAAGGATTTAACTGATGAAAAAAAATCATTGGACAAGGATCACATGCAAATGCAGACTTCTGAAGTTTTTTTTAAATTACATCTTCGAGTATCAAACATCCAGCATAGCCATTATCCCAAAAAGCAACTTTCCCAGCACATATAACTTGGATTCCCTTGTAAATAATGGCTTGCCAACTAAAAGCAAACGTGGAAACTTCTTTCATTTACTTCATCCTGGAATTCAACCACCTACCTCCTGTTTTTCCCTCTAGACATTATGGTCTTATACTATTCAGAAATAACTGGAGCTGAGAAGGTGACACAGGAACAGAGCATTTGAAGCCCACTGGAAATTTTCCATTACAGTAGGAACAAAGAAGGACTTTCTAGCAATGGTAAAACTACTGCTTCTTTTAATTCTGCTTGCATTGTGCCTTCCTTCAAGGAGGCATTAACCATTCTCACTTTACAGCCCAACTTGGCAACTCACAAAGGAAAGAAACAAAAGAGTAGAGATATCTAGCACTAGAAGAAACTGGGAAAGTTAGGTGTTTTGGATGACAACTTTCAGAATCCTCAGGAAGCATGGTCCGTGGCTAGTAGTTAAAAAAAGGAAACTTTGGGCCAGTAGTCTCAAAAAATAGCACTTTCAAGCTCTCAACACAAAATGTTCATGAAAAAAAACATAGTTAATGCTAACCAGGATCCCTTGCAACCACTGTCTGCAAAGCTGTTTCTCACTATGATTTACATTGCCCCATGGGGCAGTGGTTAAACTGTAGTACTGCAGTTAAGCCTCTGCTCACAACTTGAGTTTGATCCAAATGGGTTCAGGTAGCTGGCTCAAGATAAACTGAGCCTTTCATCCTTCTGAGGTCAGTTAAATGAATACCCAGCTCGCTGGGGGGGGGATTGTTGTTTGCATAATTATGTTGTAAACTGCCCAGAGAGTGCTCTAGCACAGTGGTCTCCAACCTTTTCTGAGGTTTCTGCAAACCAGTTGGGAGGTGGGGTCTGTATGTGGGGGGCATCCCCCCTCACAGGTGGGCATGGTGCACTTGTGGGTTGGGTGTGACACACTCGCAGGTGAGTGGGCCACACTTGCGCACATGCATCGGTGAGTGTGGTGTGCTCATGGGTGGGTGTGGCACACTTGTGGGTGAGCGGGGTGCAATTGTATGCATGTGCGGATAGGCAGGGCACCTGTGTGGGTGGGTGGGTGGATCGTCCATGCATGTGGGCATGCATGGGGGAGTGCACGGGGATGCATGAGGGGGTGGGAGATCTGTCTCCGCGTCCCGGTCCTGTGGAGGCCACGGATCGGCAGTGGGCTGCAGACTGTGTCTTGGGGACCCCTGCTCTAGCACACTGGAGTGGTATATAAGTCAAAAGAGCAGCAGCAGAGGCAGCAACATTTATCACAGTTAGCATCACTGCACACGTAAAACTGCATTGTGTTTAATGCTGGTAAGGAAAGCAAAGGATGTCAGTCTAGACGGGAGGAAAGGAAGGAATTATGTTCGTAAGTCTGTTTCAAGTTTTGTAAACCATGATTTGCACGAAACCAAGTTTTTCTGCATTGGGGCAACATCTAGAACTAGATGTCATGTTCTTCTGCTTTGTTCCAGAACCTCATGGAACAAGGCAGAAGAACATGACAGCTGATAAAAATTATTGTAGTTTATCCTATCTCACATTCACTAAGGTTCCAATTACAGTGGTGCCTCGCTTAACGAGCGCACCGTATAACGACGAAATCGCATAGCAATGAGTTTTTTGCGATCACTGATGTGATTGCTTACCGATGGCCCCAATGGGTGAAAATCGCATTGCGAAGACCGGTAAGCGTTTCGCTTACCGATCTTCACATTGCGACGCCTGAAAATCAGCTGTTCGGCGGCTCCAAAATAGCCACCGCATGACCCAAAATGGCCACCACAACCATTTTCGCGCCCTGCCCTCACTTACCGAGGGCGCAAAAATAGCGGCGCAATGAGGAAACTTCGCTGAACAGTGAGTAAAGAAGCCAGTGGCTTTTTCCGTTCCATTTAGCGATGTTTCGTCATAGCAATGGTTAATCCGGAACGGATTAACCTCGCTATGCGGGGCACCACTGTATACACTAGAGATAAGCCATTAATTAAAAGGGAATTCCTTAAGTGCTGCTTGTGTATGATTGTCACATCAGGTTTTCTCACCTCTGGTATTTATAAATTCACTTGCTTTGTTCTGTGGTTGGTCTTCTGGCCATAAGCATGTTCTTCACTGGAAATTCTGATTCCTCAGATTGCTTCATTTGTGTCTCTTGAACACTGATGTGATTTTAGCTCTAACAGCAGGCTATCTGTAATTAACACTTTGGCCCTAGCACCATGGAATAGTTTGCTCTTGATGTTCTCAGAGCTTGGGAAAGTTACTTTTTTGGACTGAAACTCCCAGAGTTCCTCAGCCAGAGGAGTGAATGTCTGCTGATGGATTCTGAGAGCTGTAGTCCAAAAAAATAATAATAACTTTATTGAGCTCTGGTTCCACTATGATTTTAATCAGCAGTTTCTGCCACATTTTGCAAGGTTGGAATTTCCATTCAAAGCTACAGACTTTTGAAATGCAAATGAGGGCTAGAACTGACAAAGCCATGTGTTCTTAATCAAAGACAGCCCATACTTTTCAGGACAGGCTGCTTATTTATTTTGAAAACGGACACCATAGAGAGGAAGTCTGCCTACCAGCAGGAGTTGTTGAAATTGCGCCTGTGACGTTGTTAATCTGGAAAAGCATAACGTGATAAGGATTGGGGAAATGTTGACGGAGGCTGTAGCTGAGCTGGGCGTGTGGCGTGCTGGGATCATCGCGATCTGAAGCAGTGACATACATGAAGATTTTTCCTGTTTGATTTCAAAAGAAAAAATATGTACATGTTAAGGGTGAAAGAAACTGAAGATGGCATTCTACACTGGAGAGCCACCACTGTCTTCAGAACAACAGGTCAGCTTATTTCAGTAAAGGGTCAAGGATCCTAGCTTTTTAATTTGAACCACCAACCATAATCCCTTCCTACAGAATTAATTTTCAGTTTTTTGGTAATCACATTAAAAGAAATGGGGTAATATTGGGACCTTTGACTTTTAGGTTTCATAGCCACATTCCTTAACAACTATGCAATGGCCCTGTTATTTTACAGTTTTTTAATCTCTCTTTTCCAACCTAAGGACATGAACAGTTCCCATAAATTTATGCATTTCTCAACAGGATATATTGTTCTCATAAACACAGAACATGTTAAGGTACATATATTGCACAATATATATGTTGTGCAAAATTGTTCTCACAAACACAAGAACTATCATCAAAACCAGCTGAAAATATATTTCTATTTTTGTGAAGATTCTCAGTCATCCAGGTGTGGTTATCTGGAAGTTGAATCATGGCAACTGGATTTCTTTCCTGTTAGGTGAAGCTGCTTGGATGAGTAGTAAAACATTTCAACCTAACGAGAAAGAAGTCCAGTTGCCATGACTCAACTTCCAGAAATTTCTATTTTGTTGATCAAGAGAAAAATGTTGTGGGTCCTTGTTTTTATATATGAGAATGAGGCAGTCAAGTCTCATTCTCATACATAATGATCGCACCCACAGTGATCATTTCTAGCTTCTTTCATTTGGTCGCAATGAAACCTCATGTGGGGGAGTAGCAGACTCGCACACAAGGGGGTGGAAATTAAGAGGGAATTTTGATCAGAAAGGGTTTCTGGTTAGGAAAGTGTCCTTCTGTTGCACTGGCTGCTGCTGCAGAAATGCATTGCACACAATGGACATGGAATAGCCACACAGCAGTACTGGCGATCACAACACCTCCTTGACATTGGCATATCAATGTTTCAATGCATCTTCCCATAGAAATTTAAAAAATATTACTAATCAGTAATGCAATGGTGACGGCCCCCAGGTGACATTCTTTTACCACTGTATTGATGTATCAGGCATTGGAAAAAAAGTGCACCACAGTAATGGTGGCCATCTTCCTGGCTTCGATTCTGAAAAGAAGCGGGGCAAGTCGTACACACAGGCAATCCCAACAAGGAATGCACCAGTACAACAAAGGTACAAAATAACACAACCCTTCTGGCAATGGGGAAATGTTCTGCAGTTACACCGCTGGCCAGGAAAATGTCTTGAGCTTTGCTGTACATCATATGACAAGGGGAAAAAGCAACAAACTGGGAGATAACTAGAGAACATTTCCCTCACATGACCAGGGCCTCAGTCTGTTTTATAGACAACTAGGACTTGAAACAACGTCTTACAATACTTAATTCTACACTCTAACCACTACACTAAACTGGCTTCTCTTTGAACTAGATCTGCTTCAACCTGAAGACATAGATTGCCTCCTTTCTCATCTTGGGCAAGTGTTTTTCAGTCAAGCATTTTCTGGTTTGTACAAGAGCTATGTCTTTAAACATTTAGGCACAAACAGGAGAAAATATTATCATGGTTTGTCTGACATTCCCTCAGGAACACTATGTTTATTTAAGAGGGAAGTTGCTCTTCAGTTACAACTTGCAGCTGAGAAATGACTAATCTAATAGTTCCCAACCTTGGGTCCTCAGATATTCTTGGACTAAAACTCCCGGAAGCCTTCACCACTAGCTGGACTATCTAGGATTTCTGAGAATTATAGTCCAAGAACATCTAAGGACCCATGGTTGAGAAGCACTAGACTAACCTCTTCAGTAATGCCAACAGCTGAGATGGAAACAATGGCAAAGTTTTCAGCTTGTTGGCCTGTTTTGTTATGCTCTCTTAAACTACTTAAGAATATTCCATGGAGGCAACTCGACAATGGTTGTTTATATTAATTTTATTAGTGTAACCTATCCTTAGCCTCTGGAACAGATACGAGGAGCATGTGCCCTTCCAGATGTTGTTCAGCTCCAACACCTATCATCCCTGATCATTGTCAACACTGGGTTTCATGGATTGGAAAGCACCTTTGGAGGCCTGCAGTTTTCCTACCCTTGCTCCAGAGAGCAAAAGTATTTGCTCAAACAAATATGAATACCTGGCCGAGAGTTTTGTCTCACTACTCCAAAATATTGTTGTTGATCAAACTGGGGTGGGTTATCATTGATGTCTTTCACTTCTATGAGGACAGTAAAGGGGCCTTTCACTCTTTGTCCATTTGCGTTCAGGCCTTCGATCTAATGGAAAGAGGGATAAGAAAGGTATATTCAAAGAATGTCATGTTCAGCTGTTAGTGAACTTTCTCATTTATCTTTGAGAGTGTTTGATTTAATTACACCGTTTGACTCAAAGTGTACCTTATTATCAGCAATGAAATATATAGTTATATGAACCACCCAATGCTGTAAAATCATAGAACTATACAATCAAAAAATCTTATAATTGACACTTGGAAGATATCCCCAAGTATCATCTAGTCCAACTTTCTGCCTGTGCAGGAATGTTTAAAAGTTATCCTGGCTAGCTTTTAAAATAATTTGAAACTGCTCCTTCGAAACCTGGTCTCTATTGCTATTATCAGTGGCTGAACCTAAAGCAGTAAACAGAGAAATAATCAAACAGTATGTTGTTCCAAACTATCCTTTTTGAATAGGAAAATGTTTGGAAACATAATTTGTACTCTACCAGCAGTCTTACTATTAGCAGAACCAAAAGAGCATCTAAAAGGAGCAACCTGAGGGGGGGAAAACAGTGAATGTTTCAGAATAAGAGAGAACAAGGAGTGGAAATAAAACAGAGAGCTTTCCTCTGCAGAAGATTTTAAGTACAAAGAATCTGATGTTTTGAGGATCTAGAAAAGATAGTTCTCAATTCTTCTGGTGATTTAGAAGTGATGTTGATGCTGCTTGGCAAGGCTAAGTGGAATTTCCATCATTTCAAACAGAACTTCGAAAAGTTCGCAAAGATCGCAGCTCTCAGAATCTCCCAGCCCATAGGACCATCCTAGCTGTGACATTCTGGGAGTTATAGTTATAAAAACACACACTAACTTTTGCAGGCTGTCCTTCAAAAGTTATATGTCACCAAACAATGGTTGCTGGGGAACAAGCACAGGAGATGGTTATAGCCTATCTACCTGTTCGGGGCTTTCCTAGCAGCATCAAGCTGGTTGCTTGGGAGAGAAAGCACCAGCAGGACCTTTGGTCAGTTCCATCAGGAACTGATGTATTTATTCATCGAAGCAAAAAATATATGCAACCATGCTTGCGCTAGTGATTTATGTACCTCCAGAGGGCAACAGAGGTAGAAACAAGTAGCTAAGGTGTGACTGCATTGACAAATACTGTAGGAATTGCTCTAGGATTGGCATGATTAGATTTATAGTATTTTCCATTGACTACATGACATACAGCTTAATGTGAACCAGCCCAGACCCTTTTCCCTCCTAATCTGCACTTTCTTTCCTCTGCCACTGAAGTTTCTACTTTTTAAATAAACAAACATACTTGCATCAATTTGGGCGTATGTGATTGTTGGGGTGCAGGTATCGTGTTGAAGCACAGTGCTGATTGCTGCCATGCTAGAGGACTTCCGAGCACTTCCTTTGCATCTGGCCCCCCCCCCCGTTACTTCCCAAAACTACCTCCTGCACTGACCATACTGGCTCCTTCCACAGCACCACTGCTCTACTATTTCGCTATACTAAATGCTTTGCATATGATTTCAAGCACTGGATCTGGTGATCTCTGTTTTTAGCCGAATGGTCACATTGTTATAACAAATTAGCATCAAGGCCTTACAGAGAAACTAAAAAATTAAAAATTAATTTGAAAAAAATTAGAGTGGACAGGGGGTTGCATTTGTGCTGTGCTGTGCTGTGCTGTGCGGTGTGGTGTGTGTGTGTGTGTGTGTGTGTGTGAGAGAGAGAGAGAGAGAGAGAGAGAGAGAGAGAGAGAGAGAGGGAGGGAGAGGGAGAGGGAGAGATTTGCAAAACCCACTAATGTCAGTTGGGGAAAATGAACAAACCAGCAAAACCCTCACTTACAGATGAATTTAAGGCCTAAACTTCCTTTTCCCCAAAGACCTCCCCCCCCACATACTCTGTTAAAACTATAGCTATAGACAGCCCACCCCATCCTTTCTCAGTTCCAGTTATATAGTTCACTGTTGTAAAACATTTTCTGCACTGAAGACTGTGTTTTATTGATGATGCCAACCATCCCCATAAAGAATAAAGGTACAACTAGGCAACCCCAATTATCCTGACCCTGACTGGTTTCGTTAGTGCTAAACAGGGTTGCTTTGAGGTCTGACATATCATTTGGAGCAATCCTTGCATCCACATGTAAGAACTGATCATGCCACACCTCACGCGGCTTTGTTTCACATGATTTAAACTGGTCCTCTTTCCCTTTAAGGCAGTAGTTCCCAAATTTGAGTCCCCAGATGTTCTTGGACTACAACTCCCAGAAATCCTGTCCCACACAGAAAGTGGTGAAGGCCTCTGGGAGTTTTAGCCCAAGAACATCTGAGGACCCAAGGCTGGGAAATACTGCTTTTTTACAGGGCATGAGGGGGAAAAAATTCCCCCTCCTATTTGCTCTTCCATGCTGCTTGAGAAATAGAAAAGGGAAAGGAGATGAAGCTTTCTGTTTCATTTTAATTGTTGGTAACCAATATAGCACACCACCATTAGCAATGATTAAAAAGAAACACAATTGTATCTTTGATTTACCTCTAGGGTGTGGACTTTTTTTGTTTCCCAGTCCAGAGATCCATTAAGATACAAAACTCCATCTGGCCGAATCTGTATGATCCCATCTGTCTCTCCAGTTAGTCGCAAGCTGACAGTAGGAGGTTCAAATGTAAACTGCCGTATGAGGGGGGAGGAAAAGGCAAATTAGGACTCAAGTTTCTTCTTGCACATATCAACATTTTACCCTAAGCTGCCTATCCTCTATTTTAGCTATAGAAATGTGGAATAGTTAATTTCCTATGTTACATTTGATCAGAGCCAAAAGACAGAGAAGCAGTCAATTTTCATACACCCTCAATCATTTTTCCCCATATTTGAATACATCAGATTACCTTATACAAATATGGCACTGATGGTAAACCTTCCTGAACAAAAAAAGCTTTGTTCTCCAGAGGTCCCTCTATCTGCTGCTTATCTACATCTTGGCAAAGAACCTGCAGGAGAGAGAAGGATGGGACAGGTTATTAATATTGTTCATATTATTCAACGGCAGTGAAATATTGACCCTTGTGTCAGTACTGAATAATTCTAATCCCCCCCCCCCAGTTCTAGTAGCAACAGCAACATTGCTTTGTTGGTAGAAACAATTTTTTTCCCGGACATAATTAGATGGATAGACAACAATCTTAAGTATTCTCAAAGACTTTCATGGCCAGGATCCAATGGTTGTTGTAGTTTTGTCGGGCTGTTTGGCCATTCAGAACTTGGCCAAACAGCCCGAAAAACCTACAACAGCCAACAATATTAAGTATTTGACAATTGCACAGATTATGAATATTTATGTCCAAAAGTTTGTGAAAGCAGAATTATTAAGTTGCTGGTGTGACTTAAGTCAGACTCGACAGCAAGTCACAAGTCCCCATCCCTGGGAGTTACATGCTTAAGTATTATTATTATTAGAAGAAAATACTTTTGCATTTCCCTCTAGAGCTTAGTGTGCAGTAAGAAGGTACTTTATATCTGATGACCAAGCAGGAAAAAAAACTAAAACAAAGCAATGTTCATGCTATGGGAGATCATTGTAGCTTCTGGGGTTATGATCAGATGGTTTTGAACATTTACAGAGAAGTTGCTTCCAACAGAGATGGAGAAGTTGCTTCCAACCAGCAGACCATGCTCACAGTTACCATGCAACTTAAAGTAGATGAGGACGGTTGACTTGCTAACCTTTCTTCTTCACCTTCCTACTGCAGGATTCTCTGCTTACTCATGGTAGAAGAGATGGCATAAAAGGCCTCTTGAGGAGTCCCTTAGGTTAGGGTGTTTGTGTGATTCTGAGGTGACCATGGAGTGGAACAAGGAGCCACTCGCCAAGGTGAAGCAAAGCCACAACAAATGTTTCATCTCCTATTTGACATTCTTAGGATTTTTTAAATGATAAACAACACGAATTGAGGAAAGAAAATCTTGAAAGTAAAATTTGTATTGTAATATAGTATGGCTGGCTGGCACTAAGGAGAAGGCAAGTGTCCGCTGAATTTCCCAATTCCAATCACTGAGATGGCAGGGAGGACTCACTGAGCAATACAAACAACCTAGTTCTAGCTTTCTGCATTTTTGCCCACTCATGTAAATGTGGTGTGTGTCCCCCAACCCCAAGGATAACCAGGAATGCATAGATAACCTCACAGACCCAGGAATGGAGCAGTTCAGAATGCTAAACAGTACAAGCTGGGTTGGCCTCAATCTATGTGCTTTTTATTTGGGTACAGAGTGGGCTGGGAGGGGGCAAATTCCACTAGAACTGACAAGTGGTACCTCCATGTCATTATGCATTTGTTCAGCCTTTGTGAGAATAATTATAAACATCCAGGCCAAAACTACACTGCTTTCTTCTTTGGATGCCTCTCTGATTTTATCATTTACAGTTGGGATGACTCAAGTGCTACAGTCCATCAAAGTGGTGTACTTGCATATCCTGTTCAAAGGTTGGTTTATACACATGCCGACCTATTTTATTTCTCTGAATGAAGATAATTCTTGAGAGCTAAATTATGTGAGTCAGAATACCTTAACAATCACCTCTACCCAAATGGCTCTGTTTGATCATTAGAGCTTTTTCTGAGGCTCTGTTCCATGACCCCTTATGGTGTGGAAGCACATTCTTATTTATCATGGTCCTGAGATGTTGGAAAGTGCTACCAAAGAAAGTACTCTTCATCCTTATGCATCTTGCCTTTCCAACAGTGAGACAAGCTCTACGTATTTCAGTGGGATTTTTGAGGGATGCCTTCAAAACCAAGACACCAGTTGCTGCTTCTTTGAACCTAGTTTGGCCACTCGCATATCACCAAAAGGAAAAATGTGTGTCAGCAAAAGGAAGTCAAAAGGGGTAACAATTGGCATAGAACTACACATGCCAATTTATAGGTACAGGTGTAGAAATGGCCATAACTCTTATAATTTTAACAGAATTACAATGCATCTGATTCGCACTCAGAAGACAGCAATGAGATGAGTTGTGTAGCTACTGAATCAGTGGCTGAGGTGCTCACAGTGGATGGGCAACATCAAAGTCCCTGATTTCTGTCGTTATGGCTAATTTACATCTCATACTTAGATAGGCAGTCCTTTAAAAGGAGAACTGCCCTCCCTAAAAGAGGACACATAACCACTCTATGAATCAAGCCACTCTACCTTTTATGCACTAGTACTGTAATTTTAATTTGATCACTTAGGGTAAATAAAATCACAGTACTAGTATATAAAAAGTAGTGTAGTTTAATTCACAGAGTGGCCATGTGTCCTCTTTTATATATAATCAGTAGATAATTGGTGAATCAACTCCTCCACATGTTGCATTGATTCAATGGGCCTATTTTAATTGCAGCTTACTGGAGTTTAGCAAATAAAAAAATAAATACATGTCCTGATTATTATGTACACAGGTGTCAGTTGGACAGTAAAGGCTGTGGGTTGGGGGGGAATAAATTAATCTGACATATCAGAGAGAACAAATATCATGGCATACTAGAAAGAAAAGTGGACAGTAAAGGCTGTGGGTTGGTGGGAATAAATTCATCTGACATATCAGAGAGAACTTAACAAATATCATGGCATACTAGAAAGAAAAATAAGTGAGCTTTAGATCAAGGCAGGCCTGAACTCTCCCTAAGAGCAAAATGATAAATCTGAGGCTATCAGACTTTGAGCATATCATTAGCCTGAATGGAAATGACCATGATGCAAGGAAAAGTGGAAAGTAATAGGAAAAGAGGAAGACCAGACTTGATGGTATATATAACAACAACCACAACTGTAATACAGTTTTCCCACTATTCCCCATACTTTTGCCCAGTGTGGGCAGAGCAAAAAAACATATCTAAAAAATAAACAAAATGTTAAGAGTTTAAATGGTTTGTGGCAGAAAGGTAACAAAGCAGTGGAAACCATTCAACAGGAAGTGCAAGAGTAAACCTAAGTACAGTGTTAACTTTTATTTGGTAGACCTAAAGAAAAGTCATTGGGTGATTTATCTGAAGCATTGTCTGATCCCATAGCAATTCCAGTGTATTGAGGATTAGCAAACAAACAAGGTTTAGCATTAGAATAAAGATAGGATGTTTGGAATTCAGGGACTCCTATTACCATAATTCAGTGGCAACCTCCCAAGCCAAATTATGGGACCAAGAAAGCCCAGGAGGTCGAGCAGCCCCCTCACTTCCATGCTGCTCCTGCATCGCTTCTGTGGACCATTAGAAAAATGCCCTGTTGCACCATGGAAATTACAAAGATTCCCTGTGATGCCCAAAGTTACATGGGGGAATGGGTTAACAGAAGCTGCCTCTAGACACTCCATATGGAGGCAGCTTCAGTTAGAAGTCATCCCCACAACCAACTTTTAATTCACAGGGAATCATCATATCTCCCACAGTGCACGAGGTGTTATATTTATGCAGAAATTCTTTCTATTTTGAAAGATCAAAGCCAGTTTCTTCAACTCAGCTCCATGGTTCAAAGTTTTATTCCTTTGGTTGTTGTAGGTTTTTCGGGCTGTTTGGCACTGTTCTGAAGCTTTTTCTTCCTAACATTTTGCCAGTCTCTGTGACCTGCATCTTCAGAGGACAGGAGTTAGAACTCTGTGTTGTGTTGTAGTGTGTGGGATAGTTGAGTATTTGTAGCTATGGGATCAGCTTTTTGTCCTTTTTTGGAAATTGGGTGATTATAGTGATCAGGGTGTTTTTTTTGTTATGGGTGTATTGTTGTGATAAAGGGGAGGTGGTCTCTCATTGTGATTGATGGGTGTCATTAGCTAGTCTATTGTGTGCAGTGGTCACCAGTCCTTGTGGCTGGGTAGAGTTCGTTGACCTTTTTGCAGGATGTATTTTTCAGTGCTGGGAGCCAGGCTTTGTTGAGTTTTAGACTTTCTTCTTTTTTTGTTGAAACTCTGTTGGTGTTTGTGGATTTCAGTGGCTTCACTGTGCAGTCTAACATAATCATTGCTGGTGTCTTCACAACTTCTGTGTTTCGAAATAGGATTTCATGTCCAGCTTGTTTCAGGGCATGTTCAGCTACTGCCGATTTTTCTGGTTGTTTTAGTCTGCAGTGTCCTATTTTAAACCATCGGATCCTGGCTGTGAAAGCCTTCGAGAATACTTTAATTCCTTTGTCAGTGTGTAGATCCCTCCTCATAAAATATGACTATTTCATGTGAACTATAAAGCATCCCAAACACCTTGTGAATCATTGTTTAATAAAAAGGCAAGAAAGGGTGGGTCCATCTATTTCCTTGGCCCATAGACAAATTGGTAGTTGTGCCATTCCCACTTTAGTCTGATGATCTATCAAGTTCACCACACTGACAACTGTTAACCGATGGGATGTTTCCACCCTGTTGAATTCTGCATCCCAGATGGTTCTGGAATCTTCCAGTTTGTCATCGATTTCTAAGTGGATAGCATCATGATCTAACAACTAGAACTGGTTTTATTCCCCCTACAATTCTGGTGAAGGCTGCCTCCACACACCCCATATAGAAGCAGACTCAGTTAGCATTTATTCTCCTATGCACCTTTACAAGTCACAGGGAATCCCCGTGCTTCCTTTGATGCAGCTGTGCAGGAATGTGAGGGGGCTGCTCTACTTTCTGTGGCTTTCAGGGTTCAGCCTTGGGAGATTTCCAACCAAATTATAGGAATTGGAAGTCCTTGAATTCTAAAAATCCCATCCCTAGTTAGAACACCTCATTTAAAAAAAACACCTTCTCAATATCTTATTTTCTGTTTGTTGTCTCCACAATCAGCACACAGTAGCAGGCATCAAAAATAATCCAGGAAAGGAAAGAGAAGAAAAGAGAGAGGAAAGATCCCTCCTAAAATATAAAAAGGCAAAACAGAGCCACAGGCACAGCACAATCAAGATGGCGGACACTGCATGGAGCTCAATAGCACACAGATCCCACCCATAGGGAAGGACCAGAGCAAATGAACATTCTTCACTGGATTCTATAACCAATCCATGTTCTTCTTCAACGCAAAATTCTCTCTCTGCCCCTCCTGGATGTTCTGATTGGCTGCAGACAACAGCACTTGCAATACTACAGTATTTGATTAAACGCTTCACAGGCAATTTGGGTGGTGAAGGAAAAGGAAACAGAAAAGGGAAATCCGAATGAAACCTGAATTATTCATTTTTCTATCATTCTTTCAAATGAATTATCTGGATTTCAGAGACTCTCTTTCTGAATTAAACAAAGGAACACAAAAGAGACAGCCTCTTTTGTGTTCCCTCCCAATTTGATTGACCCGAAAGTCCCATTTTACTGGCCCAACTGCACAACAGATGCATGCTTCGTAATGCACCCAGCACTTTGTAAATTAGCAGCAATTAACAGAAGTAGGTTACACAATTTAACTTACATGCACGTAAATCATGAACATGATTTTAGCCTAATAATAACAATAGTAATGTAGAGCACAGGTGGTGAAGCAATCTATCAACACAAACTAATAGCACAAACTAAGTAGACACCCAGCTGACAAAGTCACATATAGTGCTCCTCATTATAGTTTACTCTGATTATTTCTATTCAAGTCATGATATTCATTTTTACATTTGCATCTGTAGATGTATAAAAGAATCCATGCTAAATTGGTTTATCATTATGTCCAGTTTGGAGAAACAATGGTTTACCTCTAAACCAGGATTTGATACTGTAGCTTGAAATAGTTTTTAGCTTCTACTTTGGAGACAGACTGCTGTTTGCCTAATTCACAAAGGTGAACTGGAGTGTTAAGAGCACAGGAGAAACTGAAGCAATATGAACACTAAATATAGAGTTCTAAGAGCTAAACCCATGGTTTAGTCACTAGTTGTGAACCAAGGCTTTCCTTTTTGAAAAAAGGGCAGGTCATGATTTGCGAGTTGCAGTTCATCTATTCCACCTGCATCCATTAACATTATGCCTCAAGACCCTAGTGATGTCTCTGGCATTTCCTTTGTTCAAAACAGGTGAAAGGGGTCCATTGAGATACACATAGTTAGATATTATCTTTCCCAGACGCTGTATATAGAGAGGTTCCGTCTTTGTTATATTTTATGCAGACATTTTCCTGTTTTGAAAGATCAAAGCTTCTTTCTTCAAACCAACTCCAGGGTTCAAAGTTTAATTCATTTCTCAGTGTGCAGATCCCTCCTCATAAAATATGACTGTTTTACGTGAGCTATAAAACATCCACTCTGTGAATCATTGTTTAATGAAATGGCAAGAAAGGGTGTGTCCATCTCTTTCCTTGTCCCGTTGACAGTTTGGTAATTGTGCCATT